TTGCGGTGACAAGGTGACGCATTCACTATTGATCGGTCGAAGGGGGCCGAATTTGACAAGAAACAGATCTTTCATCACATACTTCACTTTATTTACATGTTCAATGAAACTATTCAAATTGTTATTAAAGATGCAAAATCATGTTTATTAAAGGGATAACGAAGGATAGATGGATGAGAATATCTTACCGAGGTTTTCGTTTTGTTAGCATACATGTGTACTCACTTGCACGCCGACCACCAGTGTTTCTGAGCGGAGAAAGATATGGGAGCGACTTACCTCTTATTACCCATGTGAGTTCTTGGGCCGTGACAACGAGATACTTGCATTCAAACGCCTCTCGATACTTTCAAAAGGACTAGTTCGCATCATCTCCATTACCTATTTCTGGGTGCCCTGAGGGCATCCTGCAAGGTATCTAGAATATCTTGCGGAAGTCCTGCGGGTTTTGTAGGTAAGACCTTCGATGTTTTTTCTGCTGCATCTCTTTTTCTTTTCTCTACCCGGACCTTGTCGGATATAAGTTGCTTACCATAGTAGTATGCTTGGGATGGACAGCCAAGCCACATAAGATAGTCGACTGTGGTAACATTATTTTCGTCCCCAAATCCGATTGGCTTTTCGACGTCGGTTCGGAGTTGTTCAAAAAGCTCTTTTTCGCTCTTGATGAGACATGCCTTTTCCACCAACTTCACGCATATATGAACCCAATGCAAAATACTTTCCGAGTCAAGAGTTCCAGGGTGGTGACGAAACTCGATTGTGCGTTGGCCAAAATCAGAACGGAACGGGGGTTTTAAATTCCTTATGTTGAAGCCTATACATCTGTGTCCCAGTTCTTCAACTACTTGAACATTATCAGTAAGCGACAGGATGCGATTTAAAAACTCAAGGCGTGTGAGCCCCGGATTGTTCTTACCTAGTGGAGACTCTTCATAGATGGATTTACAATACTCGTTATCTATCCGAGCCTCGGGGACCATCAATAAAATCTGACGTTCGTAGGTCCATGCGATGGCCATAAAATTGCGTAAAATGGGCCATTCGAAACCATGATATCCATTACCGATATGAACATGCAACCCTGTACTTTCGTTAACGCGAAGTAAGTAATTATTTCTCAGTGCTCTCACAACTGTCTCTACAGCCTTTCGAGTGGCTGCATCGTAGTAGTAGGGTGGAGATGACATCTCCAGGCCATAATGATAGTAATCTCTGGTGCTTGGACTTTGCGCACCTGGGCCAACGGTGATGTCGGTTTTCAATATCCAATCGGTAGCAATCGCTGCAGTCACTTCTTTCGAATTTCCATAATCGCTCTCCTTCACTGTTGCTGGAATGCTAACTTCCTCTAATTTCCTCTCAATGTCGTAATTAATGGAATCTTGATCCTCGAGGATTCTTGGATCTACCTCGCGAGGATCGCTTGGATGAGGGTTTTCACCACCCTTGGGTACAGTAGCTAAGAGGAATTCGAGTTCGACGCCAAAGGTGAGCCGTGACTCTGCTTCTGGAGACGATCCTGTTGGGGTAGTCATCTTGATTAGATTGATTGATCAGATAAGTTTGTGATGGAAGTGTCTGGAGATACATTACCAAAATCAATTTCCAGAAAAGTACAGACTTCTGATATAGTCAACAATCTAATTGTTCTTGCATAGTTAATGGATTTTTATCAAAGTGAGGCAACACTTCTCTCACAACTTTCCAACAAAGTAACAACAAGTCTGAGCCTCCTTTCTTCGATACAAAGACAACTACAACTATGTACAATTGGAACAGACCTTTTTGTCGGTAACAAAGGATTGAGTTCTTTATCTAGTCGTTGGTAGAGATGGTTCTTTGTTCTTTTAGGGTTGGCATCTTTGACAAAAGTAAATTGAGATTGGTCAATGATCACCAAACATCGCTCCAAATCATAGAGTGTGAAAGTCCACAGACATATCTCGGAGTTCGAAAATATTCAAGTCTGGAACTGAATGAGTATATCTCAACAGGTAAGTCAGTTTCACCTCAACATTGACCAAGATGGCTGTTCTCCACTTTGACCACAAAATTCTGGAATGAATCAATTTATTGAGGCTTACATCGACGGGCTAATCACGATGATGATACCTGTCATTTAGGAATTCGTAACGTTTTATACATTAGTCTCATAGCCTAGATCTATAGTCTACAAGATCAGATTAGTTCCGATTGTAAATGTCCACTGGCACCGAACTAAAGCTAGATCATCGGGATCTCATTGTAACCATCTGATATCGCAGGGCAAATCTATATATGTGGCCCTATTGCAAGACGCCACACTTTCATCAAGTTGATCGCTACGGCTTCAGATAGAATAACCATCTTTAATGCAAATGTCGAAAAGGGTTCTTTGAATGACGAGTATCAAAAAAGGATATTATTGGTATAAAGAAGTGAGTGGGGAAGCCAGGGAAAGGGGTGTAGTGCCGAGAACCTAGTGCAGAATGGTGATATTTAAAGTTTGACTTGACATACGCTATAACCTAGCTAGATTGACTTGGTGGACAGAGTGACCTCATATACCTAGGTATATATAGAGTTACTGCTCTTCAATTATACACCTCAAAAGACTCTTCCCCCCAATAAAATACTTTCTCCTGCGCATAAATTCTTTTGGACAACAGCTAGAAAATATTTTTAAGTAGTTCTCTACTTCCTACAAGATTTCAAACATCCACAACCATTTTATTGAGCTTTCAACCAGTCTATCATTTTGTAGATCTGAAAAGGTTCGTAGCTTATACAATAAGCTACGTGAATCCTATAATCTTTGAGACATCGATCAATTACTATCATCGTGATAGCAGCGACACAGGTATTTGTAATCTTTAAAATCCCGACGACTTTCACTCTCAAGACTGACACAGTCCGAGGAAACCAAAATCGAGGAGGTTTGAACCCCCAAAACTATTATTACTTGAACTTGAGACCGAACCGTTCACTATTGTGGTACAATCATCGCAAAATGTGCAAAGAGTTGTATATGTATCATAGGTCATGCGGTGGCGAGGGTACCAAACCATGCATCTGTGATAAATCATGTCCGTACTATGAACCTTACTTCGCAAGTACCTGCGACTATACTTGGTTAAGAGGAGATGATTGTACTATATGCAAGGAGTGCCCGCGCAGAGCCATGGATGACAAACGAAATAAGAAGGGGGAGATTGTGCCCGTCGCCGCATGTCACAACTGTCCCGGACCTGAATTTCACATGAAGGGCGCTGATTTACCAAAAGCGGATCCCAACCATCGGTCAGCGATATCATTAAGAGCAATGGAGATCAAGAACCAGTTTGAACGTTCAAATTTTCCCACGAGATCTTCTCCAGCGAAACCTCCCCTGGTGAGAAGGCCAGAATTTAAGGAGTACCTTGGGCGAGTCTTGGCGAAAAAGATGTAACAATTTGTGATGAAGTTACATCAAATTATTCCAGCGTCCAGTAACTTCGCATCTTATCCCTGCATGCCGCACGATGGAAGGTGGATGGCAGACTGACGGACCCAGAGATTATATTCATGCCCGCGCGGGTCATATTTTGTTCATCATAGATGGTTTGTACGGAAGTTTTTTTAATGGAACCGACCAAACAAATGGTCCCAGCGATATTTTTCGAAGATGGAACGAGTAGGAGAGGGGTTTATACGAGGAAGGCTGTAATCGGAAGTTGTTTCGAAACGTGAGTTTAGCGTCCAACTCCCTTCCCTTCTACCACTCCCCCGTAGAAGATACATATAATGAATCATGTTGTGTTCTAGAACGATCAACTCGATACAATTTCTCGATTAAAAAGGTAGATTTTATGGAGAGGCAGAAGCAAATAAGAACATGCTTGTGGGGGCAAAAGGAGGAGGAAAGAAAGGGAGGAAGAACATAGCGATCGAAAGCAGGAGAAAGAAAGGAGGAAAAATATAGCGGGGTAGAAAAATGGGCGAGAGAAGAGACGGACTTCGTCTATGAAAGACCTAAATTATCTGGATTAGATGGCTCTAAACAAATATGTTCTCCAGTACCTCCGACCTGCTGGATGAATGAAATGATCTCAGTTCATCAACTCTAGCCTTCAGAACATAGCCAGAGTATGCTATAAGCATCCAATAGTTTCAAGCACATCTCTAGAAGCGCGGCTTCGTCTAAGTTACATCGAGATCAAAAGGTTTTACCCGCACTCTACCTACCCCACAAGTATACACACGACGAAGCTTAATCAAAATACTGGGTGGAGTAGAGTGGGGTTTTCGCTGTGAAGAAGCTTAATTATACCGCAGCACGATATCTCCGACATCAGTTGAATGTACAACGTGGGCATTAAAGCTTGAACGGTTGTCGTGATCCAAGAAGCAATACCGTGGGCCAAGATTCTTCACCAGCCCCTCGTTTTATAGTCGGTAAGGTTCTATCCACACACGGAACCATGAGCTTGACAAGAGAGAAGTTTTGCATACACGCAGAGTGGCATTCTCTCATCGAAAACAAACATGGCAGTGTAACAGCACCACCAGAAACCCAGCCTCCAGAAAAGAAAAATTTCAATGATACCTTATATTAACCTTACATAATCTCGAACTTCATTGGATCGCATTGCAATACGCGTATTCGGAAGACCTACGAATACGAAGCCCCACGACCCCTTAAGGCTGCGCTAACTCAATTCAGTAATCTGCATGAGTTTCTGGAATATGCAATGAGCGCATCGACGTATACTGTTATCAAAAACTTAAAAATACGCGTATATGATAAGACGTAAACAGAAATCAGTATCGATGTTTCTTTTAGCAATAGCCGAGAATCCTCAAGATGTTGAGAACAAAACATATGGATAACCTCGAGTTGGAGTTGAAAGTCCATCTCCAACTCTTCCCTTTCATATAGTACAGTTCTGATCGTTTCTTTTGATCGTTCATTGAAAACAATCTAGAAAACTCTTTGTATCAACATAACTACACGAATCTCCAATTCTTACTTCCTCACAATGGCGAAACTCGAACCCTATCATGATGATTACTACCTCTGGAATTACGTTCCGTCTATGGCTGCAGCTGTCATCTTTATTGTCCTCTTCATTATAACAACCGGTCTACACACCTGGCGTATGTTTAAGACCAAGTCCTGGTTCTGCACAGCATTTTTTATCGGAGGTCTCTGTGAGTACCTCACCATCTCCCTTGAGATATAAACATATTCTAACCCGTACAGTCGAAATCATCGGTTACATCGGACGAGCGATGGCGGTCAACAGTACTGGCAAACTCCTCCCATATATCATTCAGAGTCTCTTCACCCTCATTGCTCCGGCTTTTTTGGCCGCATCAATCTACATGACACTCGGTCGAATTATGCGATATGTCCACGGAGAACACCATTCCATCATTCGGATCAACTGGCTCACGAAAATCTTCGTCATCGCAGATCTCTTGACATTTCTCGTGCAATCAGGAGCATCTGGGTTGATGTTCAGTGACAGCACTGCTAGTCTCGGTCAAAAGATCGTGTTGGCTGGTCTAATTCTCCAGATCATCGCTTTCGGACTTTTCTTGTTCACTGCCCTTGTATTCGAACGCCGAATGAGAAGAGAGCCCACACCGGAATCTTTCATTGTTGAAGCAAACTGGATCCATCACTTGCACTGTCTTTACGTCATAAGTGCTCTCATTCTCGTTCGATCAGTCTTCAGAGTTGTCGAGTATGCGGCGGGCCAGAAGGGGTATCCTCTGATGCATGAATGGACTTTGTACACATACGATACAGTACCAATGTGGATCGTCACCGTTCTCTTCTTCATCTGGTATCCTTCTCAATTCCAGGGAAAGCCGGGAACTGGAATATCTCCAAGGGAGACGGTAGAACAGGCGCAAAGTGTTCAATTGATGAACGGTGAAGAGAGAAAACGCGGTAGCAATAATCGGACAAGAGCTTATGGTCCCCGAAGCATGGTATGAAAAGTTTATGATAGAAAAGACTGGCACCACATGCTATAGAGCTAGTGAGATAAAGATTTAGGATTAAGATCGGCTCTTGCTGTTATGATTTGTATTTGGGTTGTCTGAGCAAGGCATTTGGTAAATAGGAGTCTGGAGTTATTCACTATGGCCGAACGGATGAAATAGTTTTGCAATAAGGATTGCAATGCAGGAAGGACCCGTGGAAGGTAACATAGCTGTAGCCAATTCAAAAGTGATGAGATGAAACTAAATTTCTCGCACCCAGTGACCGAGCTTTTGCGATAAACAAACGTTTGATAGCGAGAAATAAATTAGGATATTGAGGAGCGGATAGCAGCGGCGGATCAAACTGCAGGTAGGTATAAGATAAAGAACTAATCATCTTGACTTCGCCTTTTTCCAATTCTTATTATCCGAATATTCTAAGATAACGCGCAGGAATAATTCCATTGCCATTTTCGACACCAAGCACCCCGCAGAAGCATAGCAATATGCTTGCAATTTGACGCTGATGTCTTCCGTAAAAGAATTCCATTTTATATTTGGAGAATGGATAAGTCATCGACTTTCGAGTTCAACTGAAGCCCGGATTTATATCTAATCACTGACTCTCGCAAATTCGAAAAGAGCTTGCCCAGAGGAATAGTGGGTGATAAGGGAGAATGGGCCTCAAGTGGTGGTAGATGCCGTAAAATCGCCGTGCTAGATTAGTATAATGATGTACATTTGCTTTCCGGCCTCGTTGATTTCGTAGATCCCTTCATAAAAAGACAATTCATCATCGCGTACTAGATCAAGGCTTTTTTGTGCATCCTCAAGAATTTTCATATTACCCGCCAGGCACGAATCACTGTTAGGGAAACATGCTCCAATGCGGGTGAAGGAATCTTTCCTACCGGCGACGGGGGTAATCAAGAGACCTGCTTCGGCTCCATTCCAGATAGTTTCCGGGGCCGCATTAGTGATTTTTAGTAGGCAAACTTTAGCATGGCTGCTATTAACGAAAATGAAAATCTACCTCGCTAGGCATTTTTGTTGATGGATCCTTGATAAGAATTTCACTGTCGAGAACTCTGACACACGCAATACGTATAGTGCCGCCCGAACAGTGACCAAATGGATCAGACGAAGTGGTGTCGACTTAAGTGTCAAGTATTTCAAAGTCGCCTAGATACCAGCCATCGTCTTCGCAATGGAGTTTATCAGTGTGAAAATATTGTATCTCTTCGTATACACTTGCCCAAGACCAAGTTGGTCCCCGAAGTGGTGGATGTCCCCCTACACCCTTGCTCTCCGAACCACAAGAGCGTAGAAGGAAGATGCTCCTTCCATATTCCTGACAGGTACTCAGCATTATACTTGCTTGCGAAGTATTTGACGATACCTGAGAGCGCCACAAGCTTATCGCTGCTAAATGTTAAATTGGATCTGATGCAGATATTGACGATTTTTTTCCAAGCGATATACCAGAGAAGCCCATAATGAAGATCTTTCAGCTGTTTTTGTGTCGAAAAACGCTTGTCTTCCACCTCTGCAAACGCATCAAAACATGTGCAGGTATAGCGTTCAAGTATAATCTGATGTCTACCGAAATGTAGAGTTCGAGGGCTTAAAAGACGTTCTTGTAACGTCCACGCTTGGAATAATGTTGAATCCAGGCAAGATCGTTTGTAGGCATTCAAATTTGTGCAAACAAAAACCTTTGATCGATCCTCTTGAGACTCGCTAGTTTCAGGCCTACCCCGCTCCTCGAAATTGCCGGTCATTAACTCAGCCCTCCGGATAAGGTTCGGATTTCTATCGAAGAACAGTCCATGATTGTCATCATGAGCTCCAGTAGCGGCTTTATTGAGGCTGGATCCACCATAAACACTAGCCCTACGGAAAGATTTCTTCTTCCAATCATCGACATCATCTTGAATAATGCAGAAGGAGTCTATCCAGAAGTAATGAAAGCCGAATTTCAATGTCACCACCAGTGCATCGTGGAATGTCTTAGTGACAGTGGATACCGGAATATCTTTCTGAGATTTAGAAATGTTATCTTTAACCCAACCAGCTTAATGAAGTTCAGGCAACCCCACACATGGCCGAGTGTTGTGTCCTGGGTACCAGGTGATATATTGGAAGTTCGAAGACGCATTTGGTAGGTAACTATGAGATTAATTAGGTGGGTAGAGAATTTTGGGGTGAGTGAGTCTCGAGAGTCATGCTATGGAGGCTGTCGAAGTAACCTTACTCACCTCTGACTCAGATATATTCATCGGTGGTGCCAAGACAGCTTCTAAACTGTATTACCCGTCCTCGGTGCAGACTCCTTCACTCTCATTCCTCCACTGCCTTCGCTTTTAGACTAACCTACATCTCATGGATTCACCTCGCATTAAACTCCCGGACAAGAATTCTCGCGAAAAGCTTCTTCTATACAAGATAAAAAACAATTGACGTATCAACTTACCTAGGTTTCTCACAGCAAATTGACTTTCCGCTCTCCATTAGAAAGGAAAGTACGCTAGATAAGGTTAACCTTATATCTAATGCCTTAGGCATAGAAAGTGTATTTCAACAACTTCATTGTGAACTTGAATACAATGCGGATTCTATTTTTAATAATCTATGTAGGGATTGAAGATATGTTCAATATTCGACATTCTGTCTCTTTCTTTTCTTGTTTTTCTTGTTAATAAACGGTCAACCTTACACTGGAATGTTTCAGAAACACTCTTGATCCATTACTTTGATACGGAGCTCAATTGACAAGTGCCTGCCTCTGATAAATTTTAACACAGCCACGATCACATACACGCAAATACACACAAATACACCCAGCAGGAGAGATCTCTCCAGTGTATCGTTCTTCGACTTGAATCCTTCGCCAATTGAGATCAGAAAATGAATCGCCGATTCCATAGAAAATCGAGGAAGGGATGTTTGCAGTGCAAATCAAGACATATCAAGGTTAGTAGTACACGGAAAGTGGAGCAAAATTCTTGCTCTCATTGCTTATCAAACCGTCGAGAGTATGCGGCTAATACTTCTGAACGATTCTTCTTAAAGTGTGATGAAACCCATCCAGAATGTGTCAATTGCAAAACAGCGAGTCACACATGCTCCTATAAGATTACTGGAAGCGACAATACCAGCAAAGTCACGACCACAGAATCAACATCCACCAATTCACCAACTCCAACTTTCCAGGGTGACCCACAAATACCACATGGGCCCTTATTGCAACCGGAACCTCCATCATTACTTCCATCACCACCTCAGTCATATGTGAACTTCACACATATAGAGTTGTTTCAACATTGTTTTGAAGATCGAAGCTTTCTGTGGGATGGGCAATTTCGAGATCACACTCCCGTGATAATGAAACATGCTCACAGGGCCCCATTCCTCATGTACGAGCTTCTTGCTTGCTCAGCACTGCATTTGAGTATCGTTCGTCCTGACAAATTTCAATTTTATCACGATGAATCTACGATATTGCAAGAGCAATCAATCAAAATGTTTAACGAATCGGTACAAGAGGTGAATGAAGAGAACTTGATCCCGACCTTTGTGTATTCCGGAATTTTAGGACTCCATTTCTTTGTGGATACATTCTCTATGCCTGGTTCGGACTTGGATCAATTCATTGATAAACTAGTTCAAGCTATCAAACTAATGCGTGGAGTTCGAGTTTGCTTTATTGGGTGGTGGGATGTTTTAAAGGAATGTGAGATTCGTGAACTATTGCAGTTTGGCCATGGAGATATGGAGCACACTGATGAATTTGTGGAACATCTTCTCGCACTTGAAGAAAAGCTACCTGGGATTCCTGGTATGGAGGAAGCGGAACTCGAGGTGTTGCATGGTGCTATACATCAGTTAAAATGGGTGCATGTATCAAGTCTCTTTGACATTCATAAAGGATCTCCGCGTCCTAGAATGATCACCACATGGCCAATAACGCTGGCAGAGGAATATACGGATCTGCTCGATCAAAGAACGCCCGGAGCATTGATTGTACTAGCGCATTTCAGTATTTTGCTATACGCTTGTAAAGAGTACTGGGCAGTCAGAAATGCTGGGAGATTTCTGTTGACGGTAGTCGAAACGTATCTTGGTAGAGATTGGGAATCATGGTTGGAATGGCCTAGATCGAAAGTTCCCGAAAGTGTTTGAGTTGGGCAAATTCGAATTGGACGAGGAATTGAAAGCTTCAAAAGAAGGATATCATGAAAGATCGACGCAAGAACGATTTGGTGCAGACGCACATTGTGGTAGCCTTTATTGACGCTGTTGAATAATTTGCAGGACCGCGAGAATATTTTGAGTGTGTCTTTTAAACCAGTTAGATTTGTCCACTGGAGATGCCATCCATCAGAATCAGTGTGGTTTCCTCGATTCGAATATCATAGATAAAAGCCATATAATCAGGTAGGATCTCTCTTTCTTGCCAAAACAAAAACAATATCAAAAACATCATCAAACTTGCTAAGACAAACAGACCATCCATACAGAATGCAATTCCTCTACCTACTATTCACTTTATTCCATAACCCACCCGAACCAACAGCATCTAGAGCCACATATATATTCTGAACATCATATATCCTCATCAAAAATCACAAGCGCACTCGATCTAGCCGAGTTTGTAGCTTCAGCTATTAAAAATGGGTCCGATGAAGCCAAGCTCCTACCGTGAGGGTTTAAACCCCTCCAATACGTCAGAATTGACAAACCAGCTCAGCGTTGAATAAACGCGCTAACCGATGTCTGGTGGCTTGGAGAGTTTAGGATTTATGGATATCCCTTTCGATGTTTTGATTTTTTCTTTGGAGTGAGGTGGATTCGGGAAATGTCTTGTCCGTCAGTTATTTGTGATGAGGACGACGACGATTGCCAGGTGGTTGGTAGCATGTTTCTTTTTTCTTCTTGCCTGAGATGTGGTCTATAGGGAGTAGGTTTTTGTGCTGCTAGTAAGTGTGTAATTTGGAAGCTAGATATGCATGTCATAAGATGGTAAATTGCAAAAGGACTGATCAGCTAGCTGGCTTTTTTAACAGCAAAGTCGAACACTTTCTACTTGTAGCCGCATGAGTATTCTATGTTTCCTCAGATTAGTATTAGACATACTATATATTTTGCGGGATGTTTATATAATCTTAGAGTATAATGATTTTTGATTGATAAAAATTATTATGCTAAGATGCAATGATTTTATATTCTTTTTCAAGTTAGCCATAGTTGATTTGCGTCACGGGCTCACTAGCGTGGTTAGTCTTGGGTGCTTTGTCATCAGTGCTCTTACAGCACCCTTCCAGGAAGTCTTTCTAGTTACAACATTCAACTCCTTGCAAGGACAGCAGATCTCTGATACGTCAAAGGCATTCCGGCCCCTTAGTATTCTCTATCATATTGGGGTCCGGATGAAGTTATAAATAAACAAGGATAGTTTATCCATAAAACGTCGTAAAACTGCAGTCAGCAAGCTGTGCCGCACGACCACCACTTGGAAATACCGGATTGATATTCAATATTTCAATACGTATATCCCATTCATCGAAAAGACAAGAAAACTTGTCAGCAAGCATCATGTATCACAAGCTGTGGACGGGCGCCCTCGGCGTGCATGTAATGTCGTCCCATATTCTTCAGCTGGAGACCGAAGTCCCTGCAGAATCCTGCGGAGCATTGTGAATGGACCATTCATATCAAATGTCAGATCTTAAAATACCATTGTGCAGCGAAGGATTTATTTGGAGCCGCATTCTTTCGTCTCATCTGTGGGTAGTAGGCATTGCCTTATAATCCCAGGACTGGAATTTCATATATAGTATTGAAGATTCTGTTTTGATATTGAGTCATAAAGTTTCAAACTCAAAGTATTGAAGAAGAGAAATTTACCACTTATCGTGGTATCACAACAGACAAAATGTCACATACTTACGATCCCATAAATGCATCTCCCCAAATCGAAATGACCAGTTCCATACCCACCAGCACACTACGGCCCTCTCCATCCACTCAAACCTCTAGTGATAATCTTTCCCACTCCAACAGCGCCACGACCTTACTTCCTCACGAGCAGAATTATTCACAAATCGAAAGTCATTTTCAAAACCCCGAACTTACCACTGTTCCTTATAAGTCTAAGACCGGAAAACAGTTTCGGCATATCTTGTCAAAAAGTTTGGCACAATGGTTCATTACGCTGGTTCTGTGCATTGCGTATTTCTTGACGTTGATATTCTGGAAAAAGATGGGTACGGTGACGGAACGTTACAAGAGGATTTTCAACGCGATTACCACAGGCATTAGTATTGCTCTGGGTATCAATATCGCTAGTTCGTTGAAAAGTATGGCGTTGGATGCGCGTTGGGCAATTTTACATGCTAGCAAGAGAAATCTTTACGAAGTAAGTGGAAAGTAGTCAGTCCAGGAATTTGAGTAACCGCTAATGAAATAGTAGCTTGACCTTACTTTACATGCGGATAGTTTGATGGATGTTGGAAAATTGGCGTTTGTTTCGAAGAGACCGATAGTTTTTGGTGTGGCTATTTTGTGGTTGGTATTCAATATCGTAGGCTATAATGTTCCCCATTAGACGAGGAAGTGGACTGATGGATAATAGTTTGTACAAGCAGCTATTGCAGCTATTGGTCTAACATATGGTTTCGATACCAGCACAGAAAGTTATCTATTTACACCCGGCAATGTCACAGTTCCAGATATGAAGCATTTCTCCAATAGCATCAAACCCCAAATCCAAGATGAACAAATCACAGCTCACGCCTACGGGGGTTTGGCTTGGAATTTCGGAATCGGGACCTCGATTGAAGACCTTCCAATCCATAAAGATATTTACCAAGGACTAACCAGCAACCACAGAATATGGCAGGACCAACCTAACAACAAAATGGTTCTTGTATTCACCGAGTCCTCCTCTTCCGCACCCACCCAAAAGACCGGTTCCTTAAGCGTCTACACCAACAGAACCCTCGAAATGCATTACTCCTGTTCCTCCTACGAAACGCACTTCGACAATGAAACCAACGATTTCTACATCAACAAGCCCGACATAATCGCCTCCAGATAGATAGAACCTGGGCGCGCGACGCCACCAACTTCTACACCGACGCCAAAAATATCTGTCCCGGCAACCGCCGCTGTGCCATCATCCAAGCCCTTGAAATCAGCGACAATGACACACAATGGTACTATACCTGCAACATCACACTCTCCGAAACCCTCAACGACCCGGGAAATAATTCCTACATCAGCGACAAAATGTCCCGGATCTCCGCCAGCGCCATCGCAAACAATGGATACCTTAACGAAACCTTATCCTACTCGCAGAAAACCGTCTGGGGCCGCCGCATGGAGGGCAACGCATCTGGCATCGGTATACAAATCTGCGCCTTCGGACTGACCTCCCTCTCCGTGGCCGCAGCCTTCGGGCCCTCGAAATCCTATTTCGGAGACGAGCCGCACACGGGCTTCGCCCTCGGAGTAAACCATGCGTATACTTTCCTACTCATTGTGTTATTGATCCCGCTCGTGCAGTTTGTGGTGTGTATTGTGGTGGCCGTGTGGAGTAATTCCGTGCAGGTGGGCGATAATGCGTATATAGGGATGAGTTTGCTGTTGAAACCGATTGCGGATGCGCTTTTTGCGGTGAGTCGGGGAGTGGATAATAGGGCGTTTAGGGAGGCGAAGAGGATGAATTTGGTGAGGTATGAGAGGGGAGTGGATGGGAGGTGGGGGTTTGCTATGAGCTGAGTTGATTTTGATTTGGGGAGGGAAGGGACGGGGGAGGGATTATAATATAGTTTTAATTTCATTTTAATAGCGGGTTTGAGAAGCGGGCTCATGAGGATATGTTTGGGTGGTGTGGTATGATTGGAATTTTGGGGGGATGTAACGACAAGGCGTGGTGTGGATTAGTTCCATTGTAATACCACATTTTTGGTCTGTGGAGACTGCTAATATTTGTTAATAGCCTTTATATGATATAGTAGTAATTTCATAATCGATTCAGTCTAGGTATCTATAGCTGGAGCGGAGCGGACTCTGCGATGCGTCTATATGTGTCTACTTGATATACAATAAGTATGCATAAAATAAACAAATTTCATTCAAATTCCCACATTGTATATTTCGACTGTCCACCATTGTTGAATGTCGAATTCGTCATACAAGTCATTTGAATGACACAAGTATCTCATGCGATATCTATCTTCCACGAACTGTTAGGTAGTAGGTATAACTCTCAATGTGTAGAACCTCTGATTTCTAGTCGGAAAAAGTAATCGCATAATATTAAGTAATTGTATAATCTTATATAACGTAGTTTATCAGTGGGTTGGTTATATCAATAAATCGACTACTTTTACCTCGAATTATCATTTCAAAACTATATTATTTAATAACAATTAAATCAATTAATTAAAACTATTAAGAATCTAATAATCTAAGATTTATTATATTATTTTAATAGATTCTTATATTATAATCTGTCTTTTTGTATTTACTATAATATTAATTAAAAGATACTTTCTCATTAAAATTCCCTTCTTTTTAATACTTATCATATTAAATTTGAATATCAATCTTTTATTAAAATAATATATCAAAAGCTTTTTGTTTAATAAACACTTTTCTTTAATATAATTAAGTTTTTTTTATATATCAACATTTATTTAATACTTCATTTATTATTCGAAATATATAATTCTCTATATTTAAAAGTGTATTTTTATAAGTTAATCTTTTTATATCTTTAATTAAAACTAATATAATCTTAAATATAAGTATAAAGGAGCTTATTTAATAATAAATTATTTAAGATTTAATTAATATTAATTAAAAAAGAGTTTTAATTAGATTACAATGGGTTTGAAAGATCTATTAATTTAGATTAAAAGAAGGGGGGGGTAGATATACGAATTCGAATATTTAATTTCGAGAGTATAACTTTAGAATTGAATGAAATTAAACTTATTCTTTAAAATTCTGATTTCATATTCTGAAAAGTAAATGATTCCTTATATATAATTTTAAAAGCTATAAAGAATTCAATCTTCAAAATATAATTAATATATACTTTAATAAATCTATTAATTTGATTATTATATAAATGTTTTAAATTACTAGAATAATTAATATTAAGTAATTAAATTAAATAACTTAAATATAATAATAAATAACGTAACGTATGGGGAACTCGGACATATGGGGAACTCGGACACTTTTTCAATTATTCTACACGCGATCTTGTTCTACGAGCCACACAATCCTCCAATTCCAATTCCGAATCACTTGAACTATTCTCTAGCTCTTCTTCTTCAATCTCTTCTTCTGATTCTTCAATTGGGCGTTTGCGTGGCCGTCCTCGTGGCTTTTTCTCCTTCGGTTTTTCCTCCGCCTCACGTACCATTTTCAATACTTCCTTAGTACTAAAGACAAATTGACCTTGTAATTTGACTCTTTTGCCTTTAGTTCTTTTCTTTCGAGTCTCAATTACCTCCTGAGCATCAGAGAGCTGTTTCCGAAGTAGGGCTATCTCAGCATTTTGAGATTCTACAAGCCTAGTCATTCTCTTGGCATATCGACGAGTTGGCGATGCAGGAGAACCACTGCTTGCTAGAGCTGTATTAAAGATCTGATTTGCTTGCCTTAGTTCTGTTCCATCTGGAGGAGAACTCCTGAGTATAGACAAGTCTAGGTCTTGATTGGGGGTTCTCATTTGTGGAGTAGAAGGTTGCTGGGAGGAGTTAAATGGTAATGAATCGAGTACTTTTCGTGGGGCAAAAGGTACTAAACCAGCTCCTCTCCAGCCAGCTTTAATATTAGAAGAATTCAATGCTTTTTTTCTAATATTTTGAAAGAGTTCTACCCATTCAGCTCTTTGGATTCGCTTTACACCAGCTCGAGAATATCGATCGACCTCTAAAGCATGATATCGTTTCATTGGCCCATACACCGCAATATCAAGTGGCTGAAGCAAGTGAGAGCAATGAGGAGGTAATATAAGTAAATCAATATCATTATCTATACAGAAAGCAATAAAGCTACCTGTAATATGGCTTGAATGGCCATCCATGATCAAAAGTCGAGGTCGGTCACCTGACACTTTCTTGGATTCTGGTTCGAAAACCCTTTTTAACCATTCTAATCCATGGCTATTTGAGGTCCATCCATTTGTACTAGTAGAGAACTGCCAGCTTTGAGGTGTGTCCTTTGGAATCCATGCAGAATTCGTATTCTGAGCCTTGAAAATGACCATAGGTGATAGAGCATTTCCAGCTGCATTGACACATTCAAATGCAGTTATCCATTCTTGCTTGCCAGCTGTAACTTTCCAATTCGATTTCTGAGTAGAATCGACTATAATGCGCGTACTTTGAGTACTTCCAACTCCAAATCCGGTTTCATCCATATTATACATATCATCTAATTCATACTTTCGCTCAATGATACGCGTGCGAAACGCGTCAAACCAAGCCTGAATATTCTCCGGAGTTGCTTCTTTAGCCCGATTAGACTCTAATTGACGTGAATAGCATGTTTTAAGTTCTGGATGTCGTTTTTGGAATCTATAGATCCATTCGTGGCCTATAGGTGGAATTTCTGTCGAGGTAGGATTTCGAGATGACGCGACCCGAACGCGTCGAAGACGAATTTCGTCGGCCATTTCCTTCACCAACATAGGTGTAGCAGGGAATCCAGTGATGGTAAGTTGTGAAATCCATTGTACAAGAGTATTTTCTTCTGCGTTTGAAAGAATTTGAGCCATTTCGTGGGTTTGGGAACGTGTTTTCTTCCCAGCCAGCCTATCAGCTAGGGTAGACTTAGGGACTTCAAAATGCTCTGCAGCCTTTCTAATTGATTTAAATTCTTTCAATTGAAGTGAAATTATAGCCTTTTGAAGCTTCTCTTCAATTTGAGCAGATGTAGAAGGTGATTGGGTATGCATAATAAAAGTTATTGCGGTTTCAAGTTGGTGATGGGCTAAAAGTGTCCGAGTTCCCCATATGTCCGAGTTCCCCATACGTTACGTTATAAATATATAATATTATTTTCTTTATAGTGTATTTGAAAAGCTATTGATTTATGATTTTTATATTTATTTAGTATTAATATTCGATATTTACTTTTTCTTTGATTCTTAATATATTTGTTGAAGTATGTTACGGGAGCTGCCTCTAGGATCACGTGGAAGTGTTTAGAGTTCTCTTAAAGTGGTTTAGATTAAACTTCAAATAGGAATTCAATAAAGTTGTAACTAATTACAATTCTTGTAACTATAGTAATAAAACTAATAATTATTCTTGAGTATAAAGCTCTATATTATAATGAGACCCGTTCTCTTTATATAAACCTTTCTACTCTACAGAACCCATAGTTCTGTCCTACTTAGATCCCTTGGATTCTAAGCTCCAAAAGCTTCTGGCTCCTTGAATCCTAGGCTCCAAAGACTCCAACGTCCTATCACATAACACTTATCACGTGATCCAATGTTACCCGTTGTAACAAAGTATTTCAATTATTTTAAATTCATTTCATTATTTATTCATCTATTAGATATAAGTTTAATAGTTTATTCTATAAAAAGATTGATTTCGATATATTAATTGAAGAGATAAATTTATTTCTAGATTATTAGAAATAAAGGAATAATTTTGCCCTTTTTATTTCTATATATTATTGTTATAGTTCATTCTCGATTATCTGATTATATAGATTTACTTCTATTATATTTCTTAGTACTAATAACAATCATTATTGTATATATAATTCCTATTATAAAGTCTATTTTATTAAAATTATAAAAATCTTTATTCAAAATACTATATTTTGTTTATATATTTGTAATTAATCAAAATTACTTTTTAATAAGTTTGAGATTCTTATAAAAAGCTTTTTAAAAATTATAAATACAATTAAAACACATTTTTAATTCAATTCAACACTTTACAAATCAATATATTTAAAGCTTCTCAATACATTTCACATCTTTCAATTCAAAAATATAATTTATTATATCTTCTATATTCTTAAATTTAAATAAAAAACCTTTCAAATCTATATCAAGAATATATTAAATAAATACCTCCTTTTTTAATTCAATCAAATTATAACTTTTTGATTGATTTTCAACTATATTAGATTTACCTCGAATTCTATTACTTAATATAATTCGAAATATATAATAAAACTAAACTACTTTTTAAATTAATAATTTTTTATTTGATTTAATAATTTAAATAATTAAAATTATATATATTTATTTAAAATAAATTTTTATAATTAATTATAAAGAAAATGCATATTGAATATAGAATAATAATTCGAGGTAAAAGTGGCCGATCCATTGATATAACTGACCCACTAATAAACTACGTTAATCTAGAAATGACTTTATTATTAATGTGGTTTATCAGTGAGTGGGTTATATCAGTGGATGGGTCTGTTACGGAGGTACCCGCACCGCAACATGGATTATAAGATAAACCTAAGGCCTTGGTGTTGGAACCTACGAAAACAGCACTGTAGGGACAGTTGGATTAAAGGGTAACGAAAGATAGCGGTAACCGAATCAATAAGCAATGATTAAAAGATAGGTACCTATCTTTTGTTGGCACCTATCCTACAGTAGGCACAGGAGGGATAGCGGTTACAGGTTATCTAGTAAGCACAGGTTAGATAAGCAGTAGTATCATATAGGTCACGGGGCAAGTGTCACGTGATGGATAGACAGGATAGGCAAGCTATCCAGGCTATCCGTGGATAGACAGGATAGACAGTCTACCCAAGCTATCCAGACGAGAACGAAGGTCTATATAAGGGAATGGGTTTCATTACAATGTAGAGCTTCGTGCTCAAGATCAATCATTAGTTTCATACTATAGTTACGAGAATTGCAACCAGTTACAACCTTATTGAATTCCTACTTGAAGTCTAGTCTAAACCACCTCGAGAGATCTCTAGACACTTCCACGTGACCCTAGAGGCAGCTCCCGTAACAGGGTCACTCATTTTACATACAAAATTCGTCTGTGCGTAACCGTGCACTTTCTTTATCTGATAATATAATTTGGAAAAATCTGAAAATATTGAAATTCAAGTATATAAGTATTATAAAAATTTAATCATTTATTAAAAATTTGAATTATTATAGTAGTTATTATAAAAATATTTTTTTTGTAACGAAAATCGTGACAATTTTCACTTTTTTTAGAATATAATATAAATATTTATATAAAAAATAGATTTATAAAAAGTTGATTTTTTATTATTATTGAAAATTCTTTTCTTTTTTAAAAATAATGATTAGTTATTAAAATAAGAATATTTAAAAAGACCTAATTTTGATGTATTTTCAAATGACCCATTCACTAATAAACCACGTTATTGATTCGATTTTTATAAAAATTGAATTCAAATAGAATTGGTTAATTTATTCTGTATAAAAATATAGCATTTTCAGAATTCGAACGATTAGTCTTTTTTGAAAAGTTATTAGGATTATAGTTTTGAGGGGAAAAATAAGTTTAAACTAAACGATATATTTTGAATTTATTGATTGTATAGATTTTAAAAGCCTTTTTTTTAATATTATGCGATTACTTTCGTCGATTGGGAACCAGAGGTTCCGTGTGTTGGGAAGTACTTTTGCTACCTGACAATTATGTGCCCAAGCCCTCACTCCCAGAATACCACACCACTGAGCGACCGTAAAACGCCGAAAACAGTCCCAACAAGAGATGACCGTCTAAAGTCACTGGACGGAATACATAACACCATATTCATCAATCTCCAATATTGAAGTCGCAGACACAAAGAAGGTCTGATCTTCTGGTGTCCAAATATCAAATCCCATTCGTCCGTAAGTAAATGGTTGAGTTCCATCCCAAATGTTCTCCATTTCCAATCGGAACGCACTTTTTTCTTTCTTTTCGACAAGTCTAACTTTTTCCATGAAGCAGTAGCCTGCATAAAATGCCAGAGATGTTTTTCCAGCTTTTGCTCCGCTTCTTGACATGAAGAATTTGAGCTGTGAGGGCGTTACTTTTTGGTCGTCTAGTGATTTTGATATCGCGCGACAAAACGCCGTTTGGCTGACGCTTGTTTCATCCAAATACACTTGGATTTTTTCTCGGAGTGAGTCGCAAGTATCGTATACCTCAATCGCACCATACACTCCATCCTCATCGTCGTCCAGCCCAATGCTCGCAATAAGATCCATTGGATCCTCATTCTGAATGTTTCTTTTCTTCTTTTTCGGTACGCCCTCGGCTTCTCCACCGGGGGCCCTTTTGGTTCCAGATGAACTTGTTTGCTTAGTTTTCCCATTCGAACTAGCCTCATCTCTTCTCTCCTTCTCCAATTCCCGCAGTAAGTCCCAACTTCTTCGGCAGACTTCATTCTGACTTCCCTCCTTTTGGGACATACCAAAGGCAGAAACCATGAATTCATCGAAATCTTTTTGCGAGACGCCGATCAAGTCACAAAGTTTGTAGCCAAATCCAATGAAGCCATTGCGGTAAAATTGTAACTCGAACTGGACTGCTGAAGGAGTACATTTATTTTCCTCTTTCCCAAATCCATCATCATCTGCCATCAAAATGCTTCTGAGCTTTTCGCGGCAACGCTTTGTTTCTTGGTCTGTAAGGACAGATTTGGTTGTCTATGTAATGTTAATAAATGAGGGGATGATTGGTGTGACTAAGATACATACTGGTTGTGAGTTGGATTTAGAGGTGGACACAATTGTTGAAGTGTTCTCAGGTTCGATCACAGCATTTTCATTATGCTCAGCCCGATTGCGCCGGCTATCGGTAGCTCTTCCATTGGAACTTTTACCTGCAGCTTGAGAACCCGATTTTGACACAATTTCTTCATCCACATCAACGTTATCGATACTGCGATTATCCTGAGTCTGGGCATTCTTACTGATTGGTAGTCTCTCGGAGCTTTGCGATGAACTTCCTACTTTAACCACAGCCAGTGTTTTGTTTCCAGGAACCTCTTTCTCGGGGTTTCTCGGTACAATGGAACCTCTTTGAGAAGAGATCTTCTGCTCTTCAAGTGCGAATTCAATAAAGTTTTGTAGCTCTCGGCGCAGAACGATATAATCCGGTGCTTTGGTTCGATCCATATACATAAAAAATGCCTCGCGACTTATACTAGACACACCTAATGACATCCATTCTTTACATAGCTCATGACTTAGACGACAACGCTCCAATTCCATGTCTATCAAATGATCATACTTCTTGAAATCGATCGCAGTATCATCATCTTTGGCTTTGTTTTCCTGTTTATTGTTAAAATGAATAAGGATACAGCTCGCATGTGTGTATGACTTACTTCTATCACTGGCAACGTAGAAACTCGATCTTCAGAAGGAGTTGATGCACTGGGTGTTGCTTTAGCCAAAGGGTTTTCTGATCGTGGCATTGTTTGAATGGTTCTGTGTGAGATGATTAACGGTTTGTTTTGTTTACTTTCCCTCTTTCAAAAGTTACGCGATGTGAATGTTCGTGTGTGGCAGTGCGCAAAGACTTCGACTCCGATATCTTGTTTGTTCTGCTGAATGCTTTCCAAATTCATTCCAAATTGAGTGGCCAATACTCTTCAATCTGAATCCAACATCTGATAGAATGTAAGGACTTTGAGAGATTTATTAATAAGTACCTAGGTAGGTAGTCATGGAAAGGCTAGTACGAACCCCGCACTTATCTACTCCACCCATTTCCCTCCCTTTTACAAAAGAGAGTGAATTCATCCCCGTGAATAGTCCTCATACAAGTTATATAGGTAGTTCCACGTGACTCTTTCACATTTCACATTTTGTCTTCCTCAGGACTGTTCCAAGGAGGAAGCTAGGTCTTCAAGGGATCTACTTCGTATTCCATTTTGAAAAGGATGGGAACGAATGAATGCAATAGATAGTTAAGTGAATTGGACAGTATGTATAGGATAAATGAATCAATAGGGCTGAGAAACATGAGAGAATATAGCATTCAATGAGGTGTAGGCTCAACAGCCCGTAATCGCTAACCTATCACATGACCTTACCCGAATAATCTCACTAGACTTTAACTCGGGACGTAGCTAACGATTCTACACAGTTTGTTTCAAACTTTCTATCATCCTATTGTCAGTCACACGGAGATTACATGGAAATGGATCAATACGGTACTCAACGACTTCTCGCAAGACTGTAAAAGATCGAATTTATCAGGTGTATACACAGGACCACACGTGTAAATGCGTTGCATGACATTAGTAAGCCGCCGGACTCGCCAAAAGCGGTGAATACTTAAAGTGGTTTTTGACGCGCGCTGGGAGTTTGTCGCGTTTTCTGCCTAATCAACTTTCACTGGCTACCTAGGTTCACCAAGTCTTATTCTCCAACCACGCGAGTATCTGCAGGACAAATCACAAATTACCCCAAAACCTTTCCGGTGTTCGAGAGTAACTTCTTAACGAATAGAAGATGGGTTTCGGTACAACTGCTATTTCATCTTCACGATAGCTGCGATCTTGCAGTCATGGTACCGCCATCTTCAACTACTGCAAAATCAATTAATACTGAGCCGAGACCTTCAACTCCCACTGAGCCTGAATCTAGTGAGCCTCGACATCCTTGGTTCAGATTCTTTTTGAATTCAAAAGATAAATCTCCTCGAAAGCTCAAAATCGATACTCCAGACTCATCTGCCGATTTCATCAGTACACCATCGACGACCAGGAAGAAAGTAGGCTGGTCCGAAAAGTACGATTACAAAGATCCTCCTAAAATTATCACCGATCGAAAATCACTATCTGCGGAAGTTCTATCGCCTCTGACACCATCAGCGGAGCGAAGGGCGACGAAATCAATACTGAAGACACACCATGTCCCGAACTCTACACAAAATATTGTGCCTTCCGAAAGTAACGACACGACATTAACCTCAAAACCTCCGGTAGTCGATGCCAGAATGTTGGAATCAATATCGAAACAACTAGCTGGGAAAGATAGGGGATCGAAGCTAGATGCATACATAACCTTGTCGGGCGCCTTAAAGGCTTGCGACAATGTTCCGGACAGAAAGGCTTTATCGGACAAGATGGATTTGATACTTCAATTCATGAAGCGGGATCTCAATGCCAAGCTTGAAACTGGAGCTCTTGATACTCAACTTGTGAAGGAGGCTTTGGTACTTATGTCTAGCTTTCTCTACAAGAAGTCAATCTCAGATATGTTGACCCCCGATTTCAATGGCTATATTATGGACTACGCCTTGAAAACTTTTGAGAATCCTGGAATGTCAAAGGAAATCGTCAGACATCTGATGTTTATAATTGCACAGCAAAAGTTCTCGCCAAGGATCATGACAGCTGATAGGGTAGCAAAACTGATATCTGCAGTCCACAACATTGAGGATTTTGTGCGAGGCAAAAGCATCGTAGAGCAGCGCATCAACATCTACCGAACTTTCCTCAGGCAATCCAGAGCTCATATGATTTCTAATTCCGACTGGCTTGGGGACCTCTTCAGCGATATGCTCAACAGCTATTCAAATATACAGACTGCTGCTATTGCGTTTGGTGAAGAGGCTGGCCTTGAACTCGGGACGGAGAGCAAAATATCCTCAAAAGTCACAGAGATTTTCAAGGGATCAGATGGATCGGATGTCAAGTATGTCCAATTTTTTGCCGATAGACTGCGAAGTATGGCAAAGAAACCTTCAAGCTCCACACCACGTATTTGGGCGGCCGTCATATTATTTCTCCGTGCTCGACCTAAACAGCTTGAGCACTGGGCCTTTATCAAGACATGGCTCGACGTAATCAAGGTCTGCTTCAATGCCAGTGATCAAAACACAAAATTAGCGGCAAATCTGTCATGGAACCGCATGATATTTGTGATAACTTTAGAGGAAAAGGTCTCTTTCAGTATGATTAACACACTCAGCCAACCCTTGATATTACAACTTCCAAGAAAAGATGTTCGTAAAATCTCAAAATCCGACAATCTGCATCGCAAGTCAACTTTGAGCAGTATTTGCACCTTGTTTTACTATTCGGTAAAGCCAAATACAACACAGGCCCAGCTTGATACATTCTGGGATACATATATAACACAGATCGTCCGAGATAAACTCGTTCCCACTGACTTTATGGAAAATCCCGCATTGGCTAAGCAAGATGTGGGTGACGCGTGTAATATCCTTTGTGGATTGTTCAACGCACATACCCAACGACCGTGGATACCAAACAGAGCTCTGGATGATAATGCTGTCACACCTCGAGAGCTTCCCGGACTTGATTCGCGATGGCTACGTAAAAGTGCATCTCGAGTCTTCTCTGTTCTGAGCCCACTTATGGAGCTGCTCTTTTGGGAGCTCGCCTTCCCCAAAAGCAGAATATCACTTCTTTGGGAAACCTACATTTTCTCAATTTCATCCGCAGCGGCAAAAGAAGTTAAAATCTCGAATGATACCATGTCATGCCTTGCTTTTCTTTTCAGCACATTGTACAAAATTTGGCAAAAGGGACCTGATGGCTTACATACATTGACATCTGACCGCAAAAACGAAGCAAACTTTCTGGTTAGCTTCCAAGTTATTCTAACTACTACTATACGTGGTTTGGGAGTATTACCATTCACCGAAAGGCTCCTATCCATGGGGCAACAAGAGGACTTCGTTGTCGTTGCAACCCCTTCACATCGACCTGGAAAAATAAAAGGCGATATTAGATCGCCACTTCATCATCTGTTCCTTCTAATATCTAGCCCTCCTCGCGGCTTCAAGCATGATGTAAAATTCTCAGAAATGGCCGAAGCCATACTTGTGCCTTTTTTCGAAACTCGACGTTCGAGTAAGGGTAAAATGGATTTAGTCAAGGACCTTCTAGAAATTCTTCCTACGGATAATACTGAGTCGTGCGGAGCTCTTTGGTCAATTCTTGCAAAACTTGCTACAGCAGCGATAAATTTTCGAGACGACGGTGTCGTGGCCAGCACCATTCATGACTCCCGTCCCCTTGGCGCTGAATATCGCAGTGTTGCAAGAATTCTTGACGTCGGGATTGACCTATCACCAAAGGAGCCTTTGAAAGGATGGGAAGATCTTTTTCAAGCTTTGGTAACGTCTGCTACCACTGATTCGGGGCACGGAGGCAGAGCCATCGTTGTTATTGAGCCAATAGCCAAGACTTTGGCCTCAAATTGGCGATCGGATGACGAGTATTGTGGTGACAAAGTAGCATACTGTCAAATCCTAGTCAAAGAAGCATCATATCCAAAAGACCGACAAGCCCTAGACGCAGCTCGGAGGCGTCTCTGGGGAAGTGCAACTGCCGGTCCAAAAATTCACATCTTCGATCCGTATTCCCAACTATACCAATATGTTTCTCGGTGCTTAAAGTGTTCATATATCGAGCTTTCATCAAACGATCATATCACCATATGTGGTCTTCTTAGTGAAGTTGAAGCTCTTTTAGCACGATGTCCAAAAGTTTTGTTTGGCGAAGCTTTGACTCAACTTCAAAATGGGATGATTTATTGGATAAACGACGAGGAGGGAAAATTGCATGGTGGAAGTGATGTATCCCGGACCGTAAGTTGGTGTCTCACGATCAATCGAATAGTAATGCTAACTATGCAGGTTAATTCTCTCTGGAATAAGATCTGCTCATTGTTGGGTTCCAGTGATCTACCAAAATTGCTGAACAATCTCGAACCGTTATTGTGCGCTGGCTTAGGAAGCAAACGTGTGCATATTGCAAACTCAGCTATAGAAATGTGGAAAGATGCATTTGGTTCTTTCAAGGGTGACTTGCAATATCCTCCCATGGTCAAAGAAGTTTTGTCTAGACTCCTCCCGATGACGGACCTCTCCCTTGCATCATTATCCGAAAGCTCCGAAAATCAAATATCAAACAATCATAGGCAACCTCTCGATATTCTTGATACGCAGACAGACACCAACATCTCTTATGGAGTCAATCTACCAATTTTTTCGAACAAAGCACCTTCGTCCAGTGCTATTCAAACGCACAAGCACAAATCGATAGATACATCTCCACGAGTCATCATTGAAGTCAGTAAGGCGGCATCTCGAAAGAGATCTCGTGAGACAACTCCGGAACCTGGGAAGAGGAAATCAAGAAAGAAGGGTTTCGTTGCTAAGTTACGACATGACGACTCCCAAATTCAATTTGAGGCGATCGCTGGCTCCTCTCCCTTTTCGGAAACAACGTATGACTCACAACTTTTAACTGAAAGGCAGAAAGAGGTCAGAGAAAGAAAAGCTGAAGAAGCAGCCATGTTCTCAGATATCATGTCTAGCCCTCACCCGAGCTCAAAGCTAACTCCTCAACATGACGATAATGACCTTGAACTACCTTCCCGTCACTCTGCTTCAAAGTTACTCTTAGAAACACCAGCCAATAGTGAAAGGCAGAGTACACCTGATACCAAGACTGTCGAAAACCAGGATATGTTCCTAACATCATCGCCCACTCCAGCACGTCGTGTACTTCTATCAAAAGATGTCTCTCGCTCTCCTTCTTCTTCGCCAGATGTAGCGGTTGGTTCACAAAAGCGTCAAATACAATTACCTAGAGATAGTGATATGGCAATCACGTCCTCCCCACCCGAAGCTAATGCGAGGAATGATGTGCCGCGAGACGCTGTGAATGAAGGCCAGAATGACTTTGAGCAATCACCTTTACCGCCAGATCCATCAATGTACCAAAGCGTTTCGATGCTTCCCACTTCTTCCGACGAGTTCAATGTCACCTCGTTTTCTATTAATTTTCCGGATGAGATTAATAACATTGCAACCACTAGTCGCTCATTAGATGCTCCTACACAAATCGATCCATATGATTTTGATTTGGGCCAAACCATGTCTACATACAGAAGTTCGCCTAGAGATTTAGATCTGGATGAAGATATGGACGCAACCGTTGAACTTACAAGTAGCGAAGAGCAGGCTAGGGATGAAGAGCTTCAGCAAATATTTGCTGACCATAGAACCAGGAAAGCTTGGAGTGTCCAAGTTGCTGAGACCTTTATGGATCCAGTCAAAAATGATAGGGCAATCCTACCATCCACCCCAAGACGAAGCCAACGTGGTGCAGCAGCAATGCTTCCAGCGCCAGACAGCTCAAAAATATATAATCTTGATACTAGGCCAAGTGCATTACATTCGGACAGACCCACAAGCGACGAGGAGACTTTCGAAGACACTGTATCGTCTCCACGAGGACTGCCACCCAGGATACAAGAGTTGTCGAAGACAACCCCTATGCTTAATAACAGTTCTTCTCCTCTGAGCGATATTGACGAATCTAGCTTTATCAAGCTCGCAAAATCTGTGGATCGGGCGTTAGCTGAAAATAAAGGGGGAGTTCTTCTTCGTCCAACTCACGCATCAACAAAATCAGCTACCGTCTTTGTTCATGCCGATCCCATTCACGGAATTTCGAGCCCAAAACGCTGGTCTCCAATACGCCCTGTGTCTCAATCATCGGCCATTCAATCTGTCATTCCTGAAACTCCAGCACAACAGCTTTTGAAAAGGGATGGAAAAGAAAACGCGTTGCATAGCTCCGCGACTGACGACTCTGACTCTGGCTCTATTGTTATTGCAGTACCTCATGCAGGGCAGCAGCAGGTGCGTCCAAACAATACGAGCAAGAGCCCAAAGATATCACACCAAACGAATCTACCAAATGAAGTCAAGGTTAAGGATGAAACTGAAGGCGATGGTGATGGTGATACTCCAGCGAAGAAGCGAAAATTTGACGATACCCTTGAGGTTGGCAGTGTGGTGCTTAGCAGTGTGGTGCTTGGCAGTCAAGAGACATCCCAAGATGGTATGTGTAATATTGTTTTTATGTGAAATGAAAGAATACTAATCGATTGTACAGCCTTATCAGTGCCACCAATAAAGAAGAGAAAGGTTCGTCCCGCGAAGACACCAGAACCTGTTGCAAAACAGAATATTTCTGGAGCCCAATCTGCTCAATCTCAACGATCTGAACGAGCCACTCGAAGAAGTACACGATCATCAAGAGCGAAGAGTATTATTGAGAACAATTCAAGCATGAGTGCATCGAGAGAATTCAGTTCTGCCCCAGATGTCACTGAGACAGGTTCCTCGGTAATCGCCAACGACGGCCCTACTATACCAGTTTCTAGTACCGGAGCTGTTGACAATATCACTCGCGATGATTCAGAACATGTCGAACAAACAATTCCAGCACTTGAGCAAGTCGATGAGCCGGAGCTAGATTTTGTGGAGGAAACTTTACTACAATCGCAAATAGCTGAGGAGATGAAGTTCGGATCACAGAAGGCACACGATGATCAACAGGAGGAAATAGTAGAGCCTGCTACAGCCGCTCCCTCATATCAAACTATAAAGGAGAGGCTGCTGAGCTTAGTTAGGGATCTTGGGGATGCTGCCCTTAATCGAGAGCAAGGAAATGAAGTAGAGGATATATTCATGGATGCAAAAGTCCAATTGTATGGAGCAATTAGGCGAGGAAGACAATCGGCTGATGATTGAGGACATTTACATTGAGATGGCGTTTGGCTTTGGCTGGTGGTTGGCTAACAAATATCACATGAAGACATACATGACATGATTACATGGAGGAGTTTTGGTGGATAATTTGTAGCTTAGATACCAGAAATAATGCCAATTGTGTTGCACATATAAACACTTTCTAGTTCATCATTCCTGTTTAGTCTCATTTATCCGTGAAATGGATCGTACCAAGAACTTTATTCGCTCATCGCACCTAGTAGTCTTCAGATCATCGGTGAGGAAACGATGCATCCGGAAAACATGCATTGGATGTGCGTCGTATATGGTGTGCTTGTGCTTGAAGTCTCAGTCTGATATTGATTCGCCCTTTATCTTTGCCCGATACACATTAACCCATTTGATCTGTTTAGCCATCCTCAATATACATGAAACCGAATGGTGTATACCTACTCGTACACAGAGAAGTATCCTCTCAAAAGTCTTCGCCCTCCAATGCCCTCTTATCCATTCTCATACATAAATTCCTAGGCCAATCATCATTTAGCCTGATCTAGTCCTTGTTGATGATCAACCCCACTGTGAGCTTGGTCATCACTCGCCACTAATCTGTTTTCAGCTTGCTGATCTTGGATATCCGTGGACCCTGGTCATTCTTTCTTGTTTCAGGTTTCTCGCTTACATCCCACATTTTGGTGTGGTGTAAGTGTACTAGATTGTCTTAGGTCACTCCCGTCAATTGGTACCTCTTAGACTCGTCCCTCACTCCAATACTTTACACCGCATCTGAATAACTTCACAAGTTACTTCTCTTTCAGCCTGTTCTACGCAGCTGGTACCACTGCACTATACCTTTGTTTCATCTCACCTGCAGTTACACACACAGAAGAATAAATACATCGAAATATCCCACATTGTTGATAAGATCTCATCCATACCTAGCTTCTTTCATCGATCAATTTACCCCTCATTTGATCTAACAATCCCCAGCTCAACCATCCACACAACCATCTCAACAATGGACCGACCCAAGAAGCCATCTGCTCTCTCTGCCACTCCAGGCCTCGCACCTCATGCTCAAATAAATACCACACACTCCAATTCCCGTGTCTCCGCCGTTCTCCCCACCGGAGAATCAGTCGAAATCCTTCTTTACGGCGCCACAATCATAAGCTGGAAAGATGCTGCCGGAACCGAAAAACTCTGGCTTAGCGAAAAAGCTGTGCTTGATGGTACAAAGGCTGTGCGTGGTGGTATTCCTCTAGTGTTCCCAGTGTTCGGAAAAGTAGAAGGCGAGGAAGGTAAAGCGAAGGGTGTCGATACTTTACCTCAACATGGTTTTGCGCGCAATTGTAGATGGGAGTTTTTGGGAAAGAGCACTAGTGAGAGCAGTACTATTAAGGGACAAGAGGGTGGTGATAGCAGTGTGAAGTTGGACTTTGGTTTGAGTGCTAGTAATGTACCTGAGGAGACGAGGAAATTGTGGGGTGGCGAGTTTGGTCTGATTTATAGCGTTACACTTAGTAGAGAAGGTCTTGGAACGAGTATGGTGGTTAGAAATGAGGGTACTTCAGCGTGGGAGTTCCAGATCTTGATGCACACTTATTTGAAGATTCAGGTACGTTTGTTTACACTAATCGCTCCACAAACGTCATATGCTAATATGCGATCAACAACAGGATATCTCCCAAATCTCCATCACAGGTCTCGAGAATGCTACATATGTCGACAAACTCACCGAACCAATATCCACAAACACCGCTCCCACCGATCCTCTTACTATCTCCGCCAAAACCGATCGTGTCTACACTCCTGCTGGCGGTCCATCTACCGAAATAATTGTTTCCGAGGGAGGAAAAAAGGAATACACAGTCACAAGAGATAACATGAACCAAGTTGTTGTTTGGAACCCTTGGATTGACGCCAAGGATATCGGCGATTTTGCTCCAAAAGACGGATGGAGAACCATGATCTGTGTCGAGGCTGGATCTGTTAGTGGATGGCAAAAATTGGAGGCTGGAGAGACTTGGGAAGGTGGACAAATCATCACCCTTGCGAATTAGCAATTTGTGAGTGCGATGAATAAGCTATCACGAATGTGATTGTGCTTGCAAGTTTGTGAGCATGTTTTGGAATGAACTGGGAGTGAGTTTCTCTGTTTGAGCGAGCTGAAACTTGAGGGCGCTACTTTATGCCATGCTATGCAATGCAATGAAAACGATATTTTATGAAAAGAGAGGGGTTTCAATCACTTTACATGGTAGAGACCTCGTTAGATAATTGAATCAATTTATTACTCACGATATCTACTCTTCTCCCATCGTCTTCGAAGCAAATGTGTACTCTCTGTATTTGATTGCAGTCCTTTCAAGCCATAGAGTAGCATTCATCGAATTCCTAAGTGGGAAGCGTGGAAGGCCAGGAATTCACAATGGAGGAATCAGTGCTGAAGGCCAATGCTTGAAGTATTTCGCAGGTAGCCACGATCAAGCCTTTGGCCATCTCAAGGGTGCCCATATGGTATCATTGTACTGAGATGGTATCATCAGCCTCAACGCCTCTACAGAAGACCTGTTATCTTAAGCCTAGAAACTCCCTTTCAATGTGACGATGAGTCGGCAAGGTAGCGACCAAATAATACACCCCCGACAAAGACGCCAGCCAACACACTCAGAAAATATCCGACATTCATGGTCATTACCGCAATCATTCTTAAATAGTGTTAGCATATCTTTTGCTAACAAAGTTCCAGAGTGGTACTACGTACAGTAGATATCCCACGCCCGCAAGCACGACGTCGATCAATCCTAACAAAATTGCCTCTCTTGCCCGCCATTGACGTCGAATCGACTTCTCCTCCTGGTGTGGTTCATAGGCTATACCACCGCTGCGGCGGGTATCGGCGGCGGCCAACAGCTGATAAAAACGGACTCGGATAGCCAATAGTGCTCGAAAGACTGCCCCAAATGCAATCAAGAAGATGCATGTGCCTGCGTACTGGCCAGTAGTGCCCGGTGTCCAATCCTTTGAGTAGAGAGGTGTGGTTGAGGAGATGAAGAATGTCATTGCCATAGATTCCATATTCATTATTGTATCGGACGACATTGACATCGAAGAACTGGTTGAGCTGTCCATCGACATGCCTGACATTGTGCTGGTTGGTGACATGGAAATGGCCATTGAGCCTGTTGAGCTGGCCATTGACATATCCATAGTTGGTTGAGTTTGTGAAATATTAGAATTTGTAGAGTGTTTATCTGATAGATGCTTCGTTCTTACTACGTCGAGATTCTTATTATCATCTGTCGTAAGACGCCCAATTCTGACTTAGTACCATTTACCCAGTTATCCTTGTCATATCTCATTGATCAATCTTCCTAATTCGGAAGAAAACTTGCTCAAATTCCCTAACATCGCTGTTGTGATTGGTGAAGTGTCCACAGGGCTTGTTTTGGATGGAGATTTGATCGATTTGCGCGAGTTTGAGTAAGATAATATTCGCGCTAAAAAAAAACTCGATTAATTAATTGTTGCCTTCGCTAAATCTACGTGGGACGAGTGGTTATTCTCCTAATGTAGTGAGTGCGGACGCTTAAAAGTTTCGGATGCTACTTGACAATCATATTCTTTGAATTTGTAGGATTTTGCTATTCATGAATTAAAATCGTTGGGAATAACTCCATAGTATTTCAAATCAGGACAACGAACCAAGGCAGCCTTAACATTGTCGCCAAAATCCCCAAAACAAAATGGCTGCATGGTTATATCAACCTGTTATGTTCGAGTCTGACCGGGCCTTTGATTGTGAAGGGTTCAATTCCGACCAGTGCAAGTATTACAAAGACCCATGGCGCAATTGGTGAGCCCTATACCTTCTACAAGATACCACACAGTATGAAGAAGTTAGATTGACAAATGCGTCAGGTATGTAGCAGACTGGAAATTCGCGCTGCCAACAGTAGCACTCTTTATGTGCATTATCGGCATTTTTATAGTCGGTTATGTCTTGACACAAGTGCTTGCTTTGTCCCACAGGCCTGAGCCTTTGATATGGCGAAGGGGCGTTGCATTAATTCGATATCTGTCATATCGAGGTTTTCGCATTGAAGGTTTAAGGTGGAACTCTGCGCCTGTGGGGGTGCTATTGTTGGGAGCCATAGGAACCATATATTTTCTCTGTAAGTATGATGCTGATTTTCAACTGGTAGGAAGACACATAGACTGATCCCTTCTGAAGGCATGGATTTGATACCATCTCCATACTATTGGCCAGGTACAGACACCGTTTGGGGCAACTCGCCGCCATTAGGTACTAGATCTGGCTGGCTAGCATTGGCTTGTATGCCCTTCGTCTTGTACGTTCATCTGATCGGAGATATTAAACCAGACTAATCATACGTAGTGCGACTGCAACCAAGACGAATTGGATAACAATGGTGACTGGAGTGCCATATGAGAAGCTCCAGGTCTTTCACCGGTGGATTTCATATGCTTTCTTTACCCTGGCGTTGATGCACACATTTCCATTTATTGTTTGGCATATTCATAATGGCGATATGGTCAAACAGTTTACTGTGAGTAATATCTTCGAATATTGGACTGGCGTTGTTGCGCTTGTATTTCAGGCATGGCTCACATTTGCATCCTGTGGTCCCATTCGGTAAGCAATCTTGTTATAAGAATGAAACAGACGATTAATCACACATTAGAAATCTTGGGTATGAGTTTTTCAAAGCGGCACATTTTTATCGGCTGTAGTGTTCATGGTAATCTTTTTCTGGCACTGTAGCGGTACGCTTACATCATGGTATGCTTCGTAGAGCAATTTTCGTCTTCAAGAGTTTCCTAACAAATTAATAGGGACTATTTTGTCGCAACCGCAGCAGTCTACGTACCTTGTTGGACATATCCATGGCTTAGAACCTTATTCGAGTACGGCACACATCAAAAAGCAGAAATCTTCATTGAAGACAATGGATTTACACGTATCACCATACCCGTCAACTTCACATGGCAACCAGGACAACATTGTTTTTTGCGGTTCCGCAGCTTCGGGATTCATGCTCTAAGCTCCCATCCGTTTACCATCTGCTCGTTCCCACCTAAATCGCTTGATAAACCGTCCGAGATGACTTTCTATATTCGTCATCAAGGAGGCTTTACAAAGAGACTGTATTATCATGGATTAAAGCGTCCAGGTATACAGGTACCTGTGTTGGTTGATGGTCCTTATGGTGATATAGATAATCTAAAATACTTGAGCAGCGATCGTCTTGTTGTGGTTGCGGGTGGTTCAGGAGCTGGATGGATACTACCTTTTATCGAGCAGTTTCTGCGATTTCGCTCTTTAGATGGAAATCCCGAATCTCTAGCTGATGAAATAAGAGAGGGTAGACAGACTTCTGAGAAGTCGTCACGTCAGCGAGATTTTCGCAGTCCTCAATCATTAAGGGTCATACTATCCACACGAGATATAGCGACTCGCACATGGTTCTATAAAACCGTTAATAATATGCTCTCGGATTACCAGTCGCTAGGAACAAATACAAGTATCGAGGTACACATAACTGGGCCTGCTGAGTCTACGATACAATCTCCCACCAAATCTGCTTCCGAGCTCGAAAAGTCCGATGAAACATCAACAGAAAAAGATATCATCGATAAACATACAAGAGCGATTAGAAACTCCGACGCAAGTGCACCGCAACACGAAGTACGCGGCCGTCCAGATCTCCCGCGTATTATCCGAGAAGAAGCCGATGCAGCGGAGATAACAAGAGATAGAATAGGGGTTTTTGTATGCGGACCGCTGACTATGCAACATGATGTTCGTAATGCTGTTGCGGAGGAGGAGTTGAGGGTTGTGAAGAATGGGAAAGTGGGTGGGGGTGAGATTTATTTGTATTCTGAATACTTTTCGTGGGCGTGAGGGGGTGGATTGGGGTGTTTGGGAGATGTTATTGGTTAGTCTGTGATTGATGTCGATTATTGAGTGATTTCTTGATTTTTAGGGAGGTCTATTGTTGGGGGATGGGGTTGGTTATTATGGTGTAGTGGTTATGAGAGTCTGTGTATGTAGGTACTCTGTTGTATTGACTCCATCCAATCCTTAAATCTTGATAATTTCCACTGTAATTTTCATATTACGAGATCTCCTCTTGTTATTATAACTCTACTATATTTTCATTAGCTATTTGACTTACAGATACTATTTCCTATTTTCCATGAATCATTCTCAAGATGCGAAAAGTGTTCCTTCTGCTTGTGCTTGTCTCATAATCTGCCACTAGATAATGGTTCTAGTTGAGAAAGGCATGCATCATGTTTTGATAGCTATTGTGGGTGTCTAGAGTCCATTGATACTTCTCACCAGTGCTGTATATAATTTATCTCTACTATCATTCATTCTCAAGACCGTGTTCTACAAGTAAGTAAGTATATTTGAATCTGTAAAACAGAGCTAGTTTTAATACCCTATAAAGGGAAACCTTTCATGAATCTTACAGTAGGCTGAAATTCTTCTCTAAATATAATGGCTTATCAAGGCTACCTATGTACTACATACATACATGATTTATGATTCAAGAGACTATTTGGATATTCTGTTTTCAGAATTTCAAATTTTTGTAAGTCAAGACAAGACAAGGAATAATAGGGTTAATCATCACACGAGTGAAATCCGGTGCGGTTTATTGCATACTATGTATTACATTATGGTTATCTATCTTTTAAGATCGTTTGCAAAAGTGTAATATATATGCACGATCGGTCGTGTCTGGGTAATTATTCGTCACATCGCTTGCAGTAGCAGGATCCTTGCGAGGTCTTGGTGCTGAAAATGGAAATGCACTCAAATATGCTCGCTCCATGTACATGCACCCAAGATTTTCTAGTGAAAAAACTGCGGGTTTTGGTGTTCTATTATTGGGATTGGTGGTGGTAGGTAAGAGAGATGGCGAGGGAGTTGTATGTGGAAGTGTTGAGCTGTATGCTCGGTATGATAGTTCTACTTCTTTTTAAGCTTATGGTATATACAGTATTCATTTTATATCACTCTCGAGCGAGCTTTTTCCTCGGGGACTGGATATTTCTTGGCACAAATAAAGGGTCGAGTGCATTTCATGTTGATAGAAGTTCAACTCCTCAGAAGATGAAAACCTCAGAAGGAAGTAAAGATAACACATGCGTAAGATGTAATTGTTGCTGGTATATGTTGATAGGCCAATAGTGATTTGCCCTTTAGACCTTCGAGGTATGATTGGCTGCTAGTTATTCATTGATTCTTTTACCATAGTATCTATTGACATTCTACATTCCACGATGAACATTCAACTCTAGAATCGCATTCATATTCAACTCCTGAAACTTCTCAGCTTCATTCCCAAACCTTTATACAATGCCGTCTAATTAACATCCACCATTTCAGCGTTTCCGCGTCTTGCCTAACCACAGCAAAAGGTTGCCTCTTCATGATCATTAGATCTATTCAATCGTCAGTTCGTTTCTCAAACCAGTTACGCCTATGACTAACCCTAGATTTATCGGTTCCCAACTAAACACAAAAGCACCCAGGAAAGCACCAATAATGATACAGATAATAATATATCCATTAAAATACATCGCCAACAACATAACAAAGTACGCCACGGCGAATTGCATCATATGAAAAAATGCTCTAATGATTTGTTGCCAGAGATCTGGTCGAAAATTTTGCGTATTCCTTTGTGTAGTAACGACTGCTTGAGTTGACTGAGGATCAGATTCGTTTATCTTGGGATTAATATCTATGTTAGATGTGATATGCTGCTGTTGCTTTCGTGCTTGACGGATGATATAGCGATCGTATTCTCTTGAGGCTCGACGAAGAAATTCTAGTGACATGACGAGGAGTATCACGCCGATGCAAGAGCCGGCGAACATTCCGTTTGAGGTAATGTGCCATGTGCGGGAGATGAAACCTACATAGTTGTTAATATGCTGAAACAGATGATAGTTGATACTTTTGTCATCTGTTCACAGATGTAAAAGGAGAAAAGAACTTGACGTACATGAGTCAATGGTATACCAGTTCCAAAGCATCTAGATAAAGATTATTAGATAGAATTCGTATGATACTCGGAAAAATAGAAAGTAGCTAATGGGTCTCTTACAGAAATTTGACATCCGCCTCCCATATCCATGGCCGCAGCGGTGTTCGTTGCAGTCATTGTTGCGGTTGCAGTCGCTGTCGCACCTTCCATATCCATGCTTGATGTTCCCATGTCCATGTTTAACTTGAGAAGTGTGTCGATTTTTCTTTCCGCTGTACAATTTTGTTGTATGTAACACTTGAGGCTTCTTGAAATTGAACAAAAAGACTAGACATCTACCAGTGTTTGAAGAAAAGCGAGGTTAAAAAAGTTCTCACTACAAGGTCATCTATCTCAACTAAAGCAGATTCTTATCGTCAGTCTGCACATGGCTAATGGGCTGCTAACTACTTTTTCGATAGACCACTTTGGTGCGCTAGTTTGAGCAAGATTCGATTGACTGTCGTGTAACATCCGCCTGCATAAATAGTTCAAAATAGTGCGCTAGTTTGAGCAAGATTTGATCGACTCTCGTGTTCTAAGCGCCTGTATAAACAAGACAGCTTTCATGAGAGTAAGAGACTAGAACTCGAGGTCTAGATATAATTGGCAGTTTCTGCCAAGAAGTTGAGCAAGATTGTTGTGGATCCGCCGTTATGGATTAAGAAAACGTTGTCATCAATTTCTTTCTGTAAAAAGACTCTGAATCTATTCGTTGACAAAGGGAGGTAGGAAGCGTCTATGATTTTTTCAATGGCTCTCTGGAGTATACTACATGCTAACAATGCATGCCTAGCATACTTCTGAGAAGCAGAAATATATGTATGTATTGAGAGGGTACTGATAAAGTTAGATTCGAACATTGTGATAAAAAAAAACTAAGGACTTGTAGGTATTACAAATGAACTATATCAATACGCCACCTGAAGAAGAAATCAGATGCATCTCTTCCCAAGGATACTTGCCTTTATGTGTTGTCAATTGACTGTACATTCAAATATACCCGAACCCGAACCATTAAAGTCAAGAACTGAGGATTGGCCAAAGATATGTGGAGAATGGATGAGTACGGGCTCTTGGGTATCTGCTTCTCGAAAAACTGGAGTCATTGTGGACATAGAGATAAATGTCACAAGAAATTTTAATAGCGAGACCAAAGAAAACAGAGACAACATACGAGATATGAGATACAAGATAGTAAGATGCTATACTCAAAACTCCAGGCTAACTGTTTCAATCTAAAGTCTGCCACCAGCAATTGTGTCATCTAATCACAATACGTAATACCCCCAGAAATAAACGCCCTCAGTCGTCTAATCCGCTAAGCGATCTATTTTCACCAGCAATATGATGTTCCAATTTGAGCCCCTCGTCGCTTTCACAGATCAACCACAACATCCACTGTCCCTTCGCCTTTTAGCCTTTCAACTTCCATCCAGCCTCCCCTTTCAACACCCACAATCAAACCGTCTACACAACATCGCCTCCATTTAAAACCATCTCCGGATTCCTCAAAATTTATCCTCAGCTTTTCGATACTTTCGTATCCAACTTCCCCTTTCTGGCCATCTTCATCCCATTGCATACCAATATGGTTTCCATCTTTGTATGCCTCTTCCATAACCTTCATTGTTTGCTTACCAGTTGCAGCTCCGAAGTGTATGACTCGTAATTGGCCATCCAAGGGTTTACTTTCAGGAGATATCGTGAAAGTTCGCTCAAGGTTGGACACAAGTACTGAGAGAACGTATCCGTGTTCTTTTCTCTGTATGACTTCTTCTGTACCATCGGATTTGGTCAATGTGACAGAAGCTTTGTAGGAGTGTGGTAGAGCTCCATCTTTAGGGAATAATAAATCACCAGCTACCAGGTGAAATCTCTGGTCTCCATGTTTTCGATACTCGAATGTATCGCTATCGGCAACCAAAGTTGCATGAAGGCCATAACTGGCGACAACTGCCCCATAAACAATATTGTTTGTGAGTGGTGTCTCCGTTTGACCTTCGTTCGTAATGGTTCGTGCCCCAGAAGAGAACTTTACACTGAATATTGGAAGCGGTAAAGGGGTACCGTGAAGTAATGTCCGTAGACCCTGTATATATGGTGACGGGATCGGAGAAGGTCGATGCAAAGAATGGAAGAGGGCGTTTCCTGTTCCGAGGGGAAGTTGAGATAGTGTCGGTTTTACATACGACCTTTGCATAAGATGTTAGTAGTGAATAGCACAAATAGGGTATACGGAGAAGCCCACCTTGATTTTTCTCCACTCTCAAGCAATCCATTTATTGTATCCACCATCCCACCATCACCACTTAACATTAATATCGATTGCTTTTTCCCTCTATTTGCGCCCTCCAGCAATGTTGAGCTTGTAAAATTCTTTACGGAATCTGCATTGTCTGTCCTAATCAAGCTGTAGCTTCCTTCCGGTAATCCGACAGAGCCGAGAACTTGGTGTAATACAGCATCGTAAAAGTCTGGCGCCAATCCTGTCCCAGACAACGTTGAGATCAAAACGTATATTTGCGTTTCTGCGGAGCGAAGATATGTCGGCAGACTCCTGATCAGATAACTTTCGAGACATTCTTGGGGAAGGCTGGTGGCAGATGTTGTCATCAACTCGAAGGGGAGTTTTTTAGTTCCTCCTTCTGTTGGAAGCAGACTGAAGATTGTGTAGCCCAGTGTACCATTGGGCCCCTCATTCTCAGTAACACAAATCACATCTTCTCCTTTGATCTTGCCCCCAGATATCCCGCCGTCAATTCCTACAGCTCCTGACCATGTAAGGTCACCATCCCGATAAGAGAAATGTACAGGGTCATCGGCGAGATAAGCATAGGTAGTAGCACTGCTATCAGTAATTTCGGTGTCGTTGTCGGAACTATATGCAGCGTCAGAGCTAGAGGAAGGTATAGAGTTTGCCATCTCGACAAGAGTTTGGAATGAACGTGAAGGTTGTCATGGAATGAAATGCCATGATGATAATGTGAGTAATCGCCGCGATTAACTTTTGAACATGGGGGTCTCGGGGTGTCTCTGTCGTGATAGCAGATGAGGTGCTCGGCTTATTATTTTTTGGGTGGGGTTGAGCCACCAATAGGGTGCTGAGGTAAGGCACCCTGGATTGTCCTATCACATTCATCGTGGTCCATTACACCAAAACGAATCAGCAAAACTTTCTGATGTTCATTCCAGAGCTGCCAGACAGTGAAGGGGTCAATATGGCTAGGTATTCATTTTCACTAATCTGCTGATCGTTTCCAATCTTACACGATTTGCGATGACCTCTCTTGCAATTCCGGGCAGTAAGTTGTCGGTCTTGAATGGTTCATGCAACACCGCCATTGACTTTTATCTGCTACGAGATGTTGAGATCGATTTGTAGATATGGTGTGACCCCCTTGCGGACAGGATGAAGATGTGTCAGCTAGTTGAGGCATATCGTGTTGCTCACCAAGTCAATGAAGCTATTCCGGTTCAGCAGCATCTCAAGTGAGGATAAATGGGTAAAGGTAAAATCTTAAGGTCGAGGGTTTTCTCGATCTTTTGAGCCCTTTCATTTGTTATCTAGAGGTTCTTGAAGATAGCGTGGATCAGAATTTGTCATGGCCGGGATTGAGCTTAGTGTGATTAGTGTATCTTCACAAAAGAGCGGTAGTTCTGCTCTTCGTGGTCAGCATTGAGAAACATCTCGATCTTTCTCGTGGCTTAGCTTAGGAAGCTCTCCATCTTTGCTCGACCAGGTTCGGGGTGAACCCTTCGACAACAGACAAACGAAGGTGCTCTCGTCAGGGAGCCGTACGCCCCCTTCAACATGAATGCCTTATTTTTTTTGACTTCGAATACAGGCTTCGACTTGCAGAGATTCGTTGATGAATCCATTTGATCACGTGAAGAATCACAAATAAAAGGCACATATTTACAGGTCTCATGTGGAAAAATCTTCAAACGGTGGCAGTGCTTATTAACTTCACACAGGTCTTAATCTCGTTCCTAGATCAAGACTTACCTTTAAGCCTTTGGCTCTTCCTTCCTTCTCAAACCCTTCCATGGCACTCCCCATGCGAAAATCAAGCAGCCAACTCCTAATCCTACTCCCAAATAGAAAACGCGATTAACACTCTTTGCGTAAGCAATCAATATACCCTCAATACCTATCTTCTGTTAAATAGATTCACTGTCCTGAGGTACATCAGCTTAGTATTATTCATTTAGAGACATATCTTCTCCTGATGCCATAATCTTAATACGATAGTCATTACAATGCAAGCCCAATATCTTCTCTAGGCACACAACTTCGAAAGCCAGTAGCGCTAGTATCAATCACTTCTGTGGCGTTGATCAAAGGCGCGTAATCGTGGATAAGGTTTTGAAAGTTGTTATTGTATATAGTATCTCTGAGAGAGAAATAATGCTACCCCAAACGATTGGCTGAAAATGATAAGCGCCATTGCTATGGGGATTTGCTTGGGCGATATAGTCTTTTGGACCTAGAGAATAGCCTACCAAGGATAAGTGATGCTGTTAGATGAGTAATGATATTAGGTATGGGTGATATCAAGCTCACCAGTTGGATTCCAAGACCGCGACCAGCCCCGTAAAGGATCTGTTATCCAATTCACTTGCCAATGGGAGTGCTAAGTGAGAAGGTAATAAGAAGGCTACAGCCAACATTTAACAATACTGAAGCGAAGAGAGCTCCTGCTGTGGTATAGCCCACTCTGTTCAATGTTGGAACAATAGCAATTGCGTGACACTAAAATAGCTTCCTTACCGATGGGGCCTGAAGACATCGAGGCTAAGATGTGAGCTAGAATCATCGCCAGAAGATATATGCCACTTTTTGATCGAGGAATGACCGTCACTGGCCGATAATATACCGGCACTCAGTAGGATCACCAGTGGGTGCAAGGTAAGAGTCACTCATCAACAGTCCGTACACCATGCAATTGGTCACAATAGTTCTCATGCGGGGTTATCGACACGGGGATCATGGCTTCATCGCAATAGGCTAATTTTTCCTTGACATGTGCTCTCACTTTCAGTGTGTTTTCTCGGGACGTTTAATATAGTTGCTGTTCTATTTATTGTGTTTAAATCTAGACCAAACTCTTGCCTCGCAGACGACACTGTCACAAATGGTAGGATATTGGAGAGTGCTACGCAATCGAAGCAATATCATTGAGCAATACGCATGTCATGAAGAAAGCCAACTTGCCCAAAACCTCGATACGATTCCGTACAGGTTGCCTCATAGATATCTGGAGCCGTAACATGAGTGACCACTTTGGTTGAGAGAAGTGTATGTAATGCATCGAGACTTTCAGCCACACATTGTATCTGCGAAGGCTGTCAACAAG